CTTATACTCTACAAATACTAATTTCTCATCTACAAAATGATAGGGTTTGTGAGAAACGGCATGGCAGATTTGAAATCAGAGGAAAAGATCTGAATTCTCCACGATTCATTACCTACGTAACCTCAGGCAAATTATCTAACCTTTCTAGGCTCCATTTTCATCATCTGTAAAATGAGGGGATTGGACGGGATCAGCAGTTCTCAAAGTGAGATCCATAGACCCCGGGGGATCCCCAATGTCCTTCTAAGGGGTCCTTAAGGTCAAAACTATTTTCATAATATCATTAAGAAGTTATTTGCCTATTAAGGTACTCCTCTTTTTCCTAGCTACATATCTGTATGAGTCTGGGTTTTCTTCACATATTTCAACCAGAATAACAGCACAACAGATTGATGAAGAAGCAGAGATGAAAATTCAGCTGTCTTCTATTAAGTCATACATGGCAGAGATTTTTTAAAATATGCAAAACAATGCCACTTTTTTGTTGTTGTTTTGGAAAATACAGGGTTTTTATTTTTTTAAATGTTATTTTAATATGTAATGGGTTTGTTATTATTTTAAATGAATAAATATTTTAAAATTTTATCAGTTTTAATTTCTAACATGGTAAATACCCATAGATATAACCCACAAAACAAAATCATTTTTAAAAGCGTAAAGGGGTCCTGAGACCAAAACATCGGAGAAGCATTCGATTAGATGACCTAGAAACCCAGTGAGTCTGTTGTTCTTTCTTCCTGTTTCTCTGTTTCTTTCTCCCTTATCAGAAACAGCAGCAACCCCAGGGAAAGTCCATCAGGAAATAGGTCCTCCCTCCTCCCCTCTCTCCCCCAGTTCCCTCCTCACTATCCTCTACAGCTCAGTCTCTGACTCCATGAGTCTTTTCCCCTCTATCCATCCAAGCAGTATACAAAGGTGAGCTGGTTTCTAAATGGGCTGGCATCTGAGTCCCGTGGCCTGCAAGGCTGAGGAGAGAAAGGATAACTAGGGTGGAAGGTGTCGCCTAAAGCTAGAGCAGGAGGAAGAGAGAATGAAAATACACATACACACACACACACACACACACACACACAAAACACATACTCACAAACACACACATACGTACATTCATATGTACACAAACACAAATACACATACATGCACATATATATTCATTCACACAGACACACACAAACACAGAGAGACACATCTATACACATGCACAAATACACACATTCACAAACACAGACATATACACAAACACACATACACATACAAAGACATTCACAGACATAAATGCGAACACAAACACACACATATACACACAAACATACATCTTCACACAGACATCCATACACACACACACACACACACACAAGCACAGCTTTCTGACAGCCAGCCGCAGGTATTTGTAATTAGGGCCCCTGAATCCAGCAGCCCCAGCCCCCACCCCCACCCCACTGCAGAGTGCCCAGGGGTCCCCCACACTGAGGTGCTCCTTTATTGAACAGAACTTCTTATTACCAGCAGCTAAACAAACTAATAGGAAATTTATTTCCCCAGAGTGGAAAGGTTTCTGATTTAGAAGTCTCATTCCAAGTGAAATTCACAGAGGAGCTGAAACTGACGTCTTCCGTATCTGATAACAACAAATGCCCCCTGAGGCGTAGCTGTGCAGGTGGACAGGCAGGGGCCCTCTGACATGTATCTCTGGGCTTGTGTGCATTCTCACAGGATGGGCATGTGTGGGCACACGGTGGGCTCAGGCATTGGCTCTCATCTGTATGTTAGTTATTTCACTCTTCCAGGTCCTCCTAGGGAGCAAAGACTGTGCCCAGCCCAGGAACATGGTGTCAGTGATGAGAACATTAGAGCCAGATGGGACAGTCCTACGTGTAAATCGAGAGTGTGATGCATTATAAGTGGATGCAATCATCGGCTGCATTAGGACCCACAGAGTGTCCAGGATTAGAGAGGTGATGGCCCCACTGTACTCCAGTGTCATCACGCCTCATCTGGTCCTCTCCAGAGACCACATTTTTGGAAGGACATCAATGAGTTGGAGATCAATGAGAGAAAAGAAATCAAGGTCATGCCATTTGGGGATCCACAGATGATCCTGGGGGTATCTAAGCTAGAAAAGAGAAGATTTGGGGGAGTGAGGGCTGGGGGAGCATCAGAGCTATCTCCAGGTATTTGAAGGGCCATCAAATGGGATTTGAAGTAATAGTCATAAGAATGGCTAACATTTATATAGCCCTTACAATGTGCCAGACACTGTGTTACTTAAGCGCTTTACAAATATTATTTTATCCTCACAATAACTCTGGGAAGTGGGTGTTATTATTACCCCCATTTCACAGTTGAAGAAACTTAGAACTTGATTGACTTAATATTAATAATATTTATGCAGTGTTTACTTTACTCCAGATATTGTGCTAAGTGCTTTACAATTATAGCTCATTGGATCATCACAACAAGACTGGGAGGGAGATACTATGATTATCTCCATTTTACAGATGAGGAAACTGAGACAAACAGAGGTTACATGACTTGCCTAAGGTCACATGGCTAGTAAGTATCCAAAGCTAGATTTGAACCCGGGTCTTTTCCCTACTCCAAGCCCAGAACTTTACCCACTGCACCACCTAGCAAGCTCACTGTGGCTTTTTCTGCTTGATTCCAGAAGACAGAACTGGGAAGCAACAAGTCAAATAAGGAAAATAACATTGGATAAGTGAGTTGGAGGCTTTTAGATGAGTGAAGTAGGTCAGATGTTGAGTCTGTAGAGGAAATGTCTAGCAAAATTGGACCGTGACTTCCCTATGGCCAGTGCCTGGTATATAGTTGCTTCATTGGCTGACTGAGAAAATGAAGAGAATTGGAAGGAGCACAATCTCCAGGCCCAGATACTGGGTTATAAGAGAAAGAAGATCAATAGTAGTTAAAAACAAAACCAAAAAAAAACCTTTAAAATGATTAAGAGGATAAAGAACCAGAGCCCGGAGCCCAGAAAAATGACTTCAAAGGCAAAGAAAAGTAGCAAAAAGGCAAGGCAGTTTAAGTGGAACAAACAAACGGGTGGTTTCTTAAATCAATAGACCGGACTGGCAGGTGTGGCAAATTGTCTGTAAAAAGTTTTAACTTTTAAAATTTTATAATTGGCTATTAAAAAAAAAGGTTTAACCAGGTACTTAGGGTTGAGGCCTGAATGCCCACAAGTAGTTTCAAGAAACAAGACTGAAAATCTCAACCATTAAGCAGAGGAGGGGGATTGGTTCAGTGCCTAGCCTCCCACCAAGGTGGATCCCACTCGAAGAGGAAGAGACTGGGATCAGGGAGCACCCTTTCCCATCCCACATGGTTAGGGAAAATGGGTGGGAGGAGTTCTAGATAAAACCGAAGTAAGGCTTCAATAGGGTAAAGGGGATGCCGAGGCGGAAGGAGGAGAGATGACCCTTGTTAGGATGATGTAAATGTGAAAGCACCACATCGGCATCAGCGTTGGGTGAGGCCTTGGGAAACGGCACAATTCATCCAAAGCCATAGAGGTAGCAGATGGTGGGTCTGGGATTTGAGCCCCAGTGCTCTTTGGCGGGTCATGTACGGTGAAAAGAACACTAGATTTAGAGGGAGAAGACTGGGTTCAGATTCTGCCTCCACTAATAGTAGCAAGCACTTCTATCGCCTTGCGAACATCTCATTTTAATCTCTACAACAGCTCTGGGAGGAAAGTGCTATGGTCCTTATTTTGCCGAAATTTGCTGCTTTCGACCTTCATTTGACCAACCTCTTTGGGCGTCAGCTTCTTCAGCTACAAAATGAGTTGGGGGTGGGGGGAGGGACAATGGCTGGTGGGCAGGTGGAGGGGAGCTGTTCTAGGCAGCCTCTGCTTTCCTCTAGCTCTAACACAGGGGCTCTGACTCCAAATCTGTCTCCTGTTCCCCTGCCCTCTGTCCTGATTGATTGGCAAGGGGAGTATTGAATAGTGGTTAGAGAGGCAGGCAATGAAGACCCAGGTTCAATTACCGCCTTTGGAGCCTACTCCCCATGTGATCTTTAGCATCTCAACCTCTCAGGGCTCCCTCAGACGATCACTGGCAGAGAAGGTGCCAACCTGCACTGATAGAAGGAGTGCCCAATGCCGGAGAAGGCCTTTCTCTGTATCCTGTATGAACCACAAGCTAATTAACTAATTCGGTTTTTAGGAGGGTTGAGCCAAGGCTCACCAGGGGATGCTGTGGTGCAATGTGAGTATTTCACGTCTTCCTTGTGGATTCCTGTCGGGGTTTTTCCCTGGAGGGTCTCAGAGGTGCAGCAGAATCCTAGTCTCTTCCAGGAGGAAGGCTGGCATTGCTCTGCCACCACCCAGGAGTGTCCCAGGAGGGCGAGGCTGGCCCTCCTCCCTGGACTGTTTGCAGACACCCACACCCAGCAAAACCCACCCAAGGACCGAAAAAGCCATTAAATGGGGGAGGGAAAGGTAGGAGAGGGGGTGTCTACAATTGTTCTGTCTGCTTCTGGAATCCTGACTACTCTTGGCACAAGGCTGGGCTTCCCCTGGGAAGAGGGGGTACTGGGCCAGGGAGAGTAAGTATCCCAAAGAGAGGAGGAAGTGGAAATTCCATTGAGAACCCACTTACTAGGATCGTCCTTTATTCCAGGCACCGTGTGTGTGCTAGGAGCCAGGGAGACAGGCAAAAAACAAGAAACAGCCCTGACCTTAACGAGTTTACATTCTAGTTGGGGAGCAGACAAATCTAGGCAAAGGACTGTTTTCCCTTGTTTTCAGCAACCTGGGCTTGAACTAAGAATCCCCTTCGATTCCTCAGAGGGGTTTTGCCTGGAGAAATTTTGCAGATGCCAAAGGACTGATTTCAAAACTTCCTCTCAACTCCTGTGATCCCAAGAGAAGAGAATTTCTGGCTGGTTGGCAGAGTTCTTTTCTTGGGAGACACCCAGATCAAACTTCCTTGTTCCTCAAGCCTGCTTCTTGGCTGTTCTTTAAATGTGTGTCAGCAGTGGGAGGGGATGGTTTCAGGGCAAGCCACTGGAATGTCTTTAACCCAAAGGGTGGGAATCTCTTCCACCTGCAGCTATCCAGAAGCCCAGCTCGGGACATGTGCTCAGAGCCCGGGGAACTCCGGAGGAGGCCAGTCTAGAAGGTATGTCGGGGCACCCCACCTGGGTGGACCTCTTTTTTATAATTGGGGAAGTCCAGTGCTTTCCTCCTCTGGGGAGCTGCTATTTCACGAGCAGTCTTTGGCCCTGGGGATTGTTGTCAAGACCAAGGGACCCTAACCACCTTCTCAGGTGGGTCAGGAAGGAGAGCATGGGTTGCATCCCCAGGAGATTTTCCACAATTAGTGGCTTTATGGGCCTCAGTTCTAGTGAGAAAGAAGGACAAATGAGGTGTGTGTGGGAGAGAAGGGTGGAGAGACAGTTGGATAAAGAGAAGACAGAGAAAGAGAAGGCAAAAGAGACAGAGACCCAGACAAAGAAGAATAACAAAAAACAAAGGGGAGATTGAGACTTCTCAGATGAAAGATTCTTGGGGGTGACACCACTTCTCCCCCTTTTAAGACAAAAGGCAGCTAAGCCAACCTCAACATATCGCAGATGAAGAAAAGGAGGCTGAGGAAGGAATACCCAAGGTCACACAGCTGGAACCAAGGTTCTCTGGAATCCAAGGCCAACACTGCCCCTGCCATTGAGCTCATGCTGCCTTCTCTAGATAGAACAGAGGCTGCTCTGGGGCCTCCAACCACGGCATCTTGCATGCAAGAAGGGCCTAATTTATGCTCAGCTGCACTGAACTGGGCCAAGCTTTGGCTCACTTCCATTGTCCTTCCCAGGAAAGATGCTCCTTCAGGCCCAGATTGCCCTAATTATTGGCACAAGTTCCAGGGCACATTGGCCTAATTATTGACTTTTGTTGGCTTGCATTCATGTCAAGAGGTTCAATGACCCCTCCAGAATCAATATGATCCCCATACTATCCCATGGGCAGTCAGGACTTGAACCCAGGTCTTCCTGGGTTCCTGGATTGCTCTCTAACCATTATACCACACTTCCCTTACATCCCTTATGGTTAATTAGCAGTGGGGTGGGGAGAGGAATCTGAGCCCAAGTCAACATAGTTTCCAGCCCAGTGTCTGTCTGTCTATTGTATTTTCACCTTGAAGCCTCAATATATTTATATTATACATAGTTGGTATCAAACCTGCCCTCCAGATAATACTTCAGTCAGTCAATAAGATCATTATGCATGTGAATAGAGTGCTGGGCCTGGATTGAGGAACACCTGAATTCAAATCTGGCTTCAGACACTCATCCTGTGTAACTCTGGGTGAGTCTTTATTAACTCACTGTCTGCCTCAGTTTCCTCAACTGTAAAATAGAGATAATGAAAGCACCTCCCTGTTGTCGTAAGAATCAAGTGAAGTATTATTTGTAAAATGCTTCACAGATCATAGATAGATTGATAGATAGATAGATAGATAGATAGATAGATAGATAGATAGATAGATAGATAGATAGAATGAATATAGCCAAGATGATCTTTTGGAGGTGGAAACACTGGAAGCTGAGGGGGGAGATGCTGGAAAGGTTTGGAATTCTGGGGGGCAGAGGTGAAGAGGGAGTGCCCTCTGGCCATGGGGGACATCCGGGGCAAAGGCTCCTTCTTAGGTTTCTTGGTTCTATCTCCTGCTTGGTCACAGAATGCCTCTTCATCTGGAAACTTAGGAACCCTTCTCTCTCCGGAAAACATGATCCAGAAGTTCTCCCAACACCTTTGCTGCCTCCAAAGAGGTCCCTTTCATTTCACAGGAGAGGAAACTGAGACCCAAAGAGATTCACAAGATCATAGAGCTTGAACCAGAAGGGACTCTGGTCATCACTGAGTCCAACTCTCTTGTTTTACAGCTGAGGAAACTGAGGCAAAGACTAGACACATGGAGAGTGGGATAACCAGCATTTAAGCCCCAGGTCCTCTGACTCGGCAATCAGCACCCTTTCCACCATACCCGGTTCCCTCCCTCCTCTTTGACCTTGCCGAGCTGACCGGCTTCTTCCTGGTCAAATCCTAGCTTGTCAAAACAAATTACAGGAAGGACCCATTGTGCTTAGATACCATTAATGCATTCTAAGCCAGCCCCACCCAGCTGTTCCTGGACAAATAGTAACTTTACTATACATTTGAGCAAAAAACCCATGCCTTGTCACAGGGAGGCTTGGGCAAGGAGAGTCGTGATTTCAGCAACTGCTTACTAACTTACAGTTTAGTAGGTGAGTCAATCCTGGGGAGAGGGTTCAAGGCCCTGAGTGGGCTGGTGACTTTTCCTAGAGTGAATAGTGCAATTAGCACAATTTAGAGGCAGGATTTGAACCCATGCCTTCCTGACTCAAAGTCCAGCTGTGTCTCCATTGAATCAGAGTCAATCGGGAGTCAGTAAACATTTATTAAGTGCCTACTATGTGCTAAGGGCTATGTTAAGAGCTGGGCTTACTTAGCCTTGTCTGCTGCTCCCTCTCAGAGAACTGGTTATTTCCAGGTGGGTCACTGACCTGGATCCCAAGCCCCCTGGGCCTTGGCAGCATCCTTTAGGAGTTGCTGGGGCCGAACAATTAGCCCCAGGTCAGAACGTTGATGTGAGTGTCCTGGTCTCAGCCAACCGGTTTCTTATCACAGGAATCTAGCTGCAGGGGCCATTAAAAGCCATGCAATCTAGCTCCCTCATTTTACAGATGAGAAAACTGAGGGAGGCCCAGAGAAGTTGTGACGTGAGCGAGGTCACACAGGTCATTTAATCAACAATGAGCCTCTGAATCCAGTCTATCCCCCAGTCAAGTGTAGGGATGAGTCTTGAGCTCCACACGTGGTGAATGGGTTTTCTCATAGGGCAGCTGCTTCTGTACTTAGTCATATCTCTGGACCCTGGGGCTGAGCTTGGAGGTCCTTCCAGAGATCATCCAGAGGCTGCCCTGGCACCAGAGACTGCCAGGAATTGACTGACAAGCTATTAAATGATGCCCTAGCACAATGGGCTCTTCTGGTCATTTATGTTGGTCAAACCTGGCATCAAGAGAGGTGATGTGACCTTCAGGAGCAGAAAAACTTGGATTCAACTGCTGATTCGGACTTCTATGGGCTATGACGACATGTTCTGGTCAAATCACTTAGCCATTCAAAGCTCTCAGCGACTCTCTAAGGCTATGTTGTAAAGGAGGTGTGGACCTGAGTCAGTAGAAGGAGCTTTCCTCACCTAAGAATTATACCAATGAAATCACAGGTCCAGTCCCAGGCTCAGTAATCTATTATTCTTTGTTATTCTATGGGACCCACTTCCCTCCTCCCTGGACCAAGGGATTGTCTACACTAATGGTAATGATGATGATGATGATGATGGTGATGATGGTGATGATGATACTAAGAGTAATACTAATAGCAAGCATGTATATAGCACCTACCAGGCACTTTAAAATATGATCTCATTTGATCCTCACAACAACCCTGGGAAGAAGGTGCTATTATTATACCCACTTTATATTTGAGGAAACTGAGGTTAAGTGACCTGCGCAGGGTCTCACAGCTAATTAAGTGTCTGAGGTTGGATTTGAACTCAGATCTTTTTGATGTCAAGCCCAGAGCTCTAACCACTGAGCAACCTAGCCCTCCAGTGTTTCGTGGATGGGGGTACATCACAACCCCAACAACTCAAGCCAGCTAGATTATTCCCACCCATCCCCAATCACTGGGATTCCATCACTCATCCTTAATGAAGTAGATAATGGGTTCAGGAGCCAGACAAGTGTCCAGGCCCAGTCCATGGGGCATACAATCAAAGGACCAAAGAAGAGATTGCAATCTCAATAGGAGTCAGCATTATGGCATGGCAGCCACAAAAGCGAAGAAAATCTTGGATTACATGGGGAATCTGGAGGTGATAGTCCCTCCGAACTCTGACCTCGTCAACCCACACCTTGAGTATTGAGTTCAGATCAAGCCACCTCCATCCCAGCCATCCTCATTCTCTCCCCACATGAACCATTTTGGCCTGCCCCAGGCTTTGGCCTTCTCTTAACCAGGAACTGGCCATCTCCACAACCTGCTGAATGCACCCCCCCATCCCACCCCCTGCCCTCTTTCCCCTCTCTCCTGCCTATGCTGTCTCTCTTCAAAATGGCAACCTGTCTTGCTGACCTGCATTTTTAGCTCCAGTGCTTGGCCCAGAGAAAGTATTTAAATACTTTATCATCATTTCATAAGCTGGATGGAGAAGGGCCTTGAGTTCAAGGCAGATGAGTCTGGAAGCTCGCTGAGGGCAGGGATGATCTTTTGCCTCTTTTTGTATCCCCCAGTGCTTAGCACAGTGCCTGGCACATGGTAGACTTTAATAAATGCTTATTGATTGATTGATATGATGAGAATTGATGGAAGAAACTAGAGGTGTTCAGCCTGGAGAAAAGAAAATTGGGGGGAGGGATGCAAGGTGAGAGTTCTCCTGAAATACGGGGTATCCCGGAAGTCTTTGTTTAGTCACAAGCTATCTGCAAATTTGATACTGTTGTCAATTATGTAAATTCTGTCCTTGAATAAAGGCTCCCTCCAGATCCTATGCCTTTCTCTTTAAGACCAGCTTTCTAATGAACCCTTAAGACACTCCTGACTTAATTATGGACACCACCATCTTTGCTAATCAGAGGGGCCTAAAACTTAGCTCTCTCTGGTGGGAAGAAATAACCTTCTCACTTGATCTGGAGTGCATTTCTTCATAACTTAACCTGGCACAACGTGAATGATTTACACAGGGAAGGCTGGTCCACTCTTTTCTGAGTTGATCAGTCTGGACAACTCGAATCGAGGGCTGCCCCTCTGGGACCCCCACTAATTAGTTTAGACTCAGTCTTTCTCAAGCATCAAAGCTTTCGATCCCTAATTAAGCAGGGCTGATCTCTGGTCAGACAGAAATGATTTGTGTCCTGAATGTCCTTTTGGGCTAATCTACTGGTTGCAACCAACTCTAGGAATGGATCTATAGAAATATAACTGGGAGGGAGGGGAGAAGTGAAGGAGGAGAAAGGGTGGGAAGGAGGAGGCAGTTTCTGAAAAGCTGATTTGGTCATTTAGATTTTTTCCTTTCTTCTGTCTGGCTGGTTCAGG